ATTTATTATCATCTAGAGACAAGCTTTGAATGTGATGATGTCATCAGTACGCTTCTGTTCCAGTTGACTGATTTATTCTCCCCAGGTCTAGACTTTACTGCGGTCGGCCTCAGCGCTCCACTGGTTGCCACGGACCTCTGAACATCTAAACTTTTTATTATTATGCCATAAATAGGGGAAATGGGCCACATAGTTAAGCTTAAAATATGTTCTCGCCTTAAATGATCTTAAAACATACTTTTATAGAACAGCAACAGAAAAGAGAACTTTTATGTTCTGTGAGTGCAAACCTGGAAGCTGCTGCTGCCGCAGTGCATGCTGGGACAGCTGTCAGTCTGGAGGGATGACAGGTGTGCGCTGATGCATGCTGGGTAAAAAAGGGAGGGGAGAGAACGTCTTGGTACTTAATTGAGAAATGGCCTTAATATTTTCAATGTGTTGGCACAAACTATGAAACGTGTTAGAGGAATATTATGCTTTTTAAGCAGTTTAGGATTAAATGCGCTTTCTAACAGAATTAAACTGTATTCCGGTGTAAAAAAAAAAATAAAATAAAAAGCAAGGTTGTACCCTCACTATTTTTGATATAACAAAAAAAACCTAAAGTCCAAAGCCATGAAAGTAAAGAGTACGATGTGTTGATGACTAAACCAGCTGAAGTCATTTAGTCTCATTAATGAGGAGCTTTATCACATTCAAGCTGCTTCTAACAACAAAATCATTTTCCTCTACAGCAACAAACTCACCTGATCCCTGGACTGAACCTGGGCGCTCTGGGCCTCTTCCCTCCTTCATCCAACATGCCCCCCCCTCCACCTGGAAATGCAGTGGGAGGAGCCCCCTATGGCTCCTTTGGGGTAAGAGAAGCCTCACTGGACGGTCCAGAATCCACTGACATGCTGTCAGTTTTTGGCTCAACCTACATCTGATCTGATTTGTCCAAATTTGCTCCAAATGACTCCATCCTTATCCGCACATCCAGATTCAAAGAACTGGTTCACAGGAGATGGAACACGTCACTTCACCATAAGGGCTGTAGTGTTTAAAAAAAAAAACAGAACAAGGAAGTTTATTGTTTTTAAAGTGAGACTAAACACAGGGTAGATGATCCCGGTGGATATGAATGTCAGGCAGCCATGTTTCTGTGCGCTCAGGCTCCGGAGCAGGAGACGGTCCATGTCTACATCCCAGCACAAGCAGTGGGGGCCATCATCGGCAAGAAGGGACAGCACATCAAACAGCTGAGCCGCTTCGCTGGAGCCTCCATTAAGGTTGGTGAAAGACAGAGATGAGGTCCAAACCAGAATATAAACCCTAAAGGCCAGAAATGTATTCCCGTTTCCTTCTCCAGATCGCGCCGGCGGAAACCCCGGACTCCAAAATGAGGATGGTGATTGTGACGGGACCCCCGGAGGCTCAGTTCAAGGTGACGATGGTTGAGAATAAGCCTGTTTTACCTGCAGACTGCGCTTGATAACCGTTTGCTTTCTGATCCACAGGCTCAGGGCAGAATCTATGGAAAACTGAAAGAGGAGAATTTTTTCGGACCAAAAGAGGAAGTCAAGCTGGAGACTCACATTAAAATGGCGGCTGCTGCTGCAGGGAGAGTCATCGGCAAAGGAGGAAAGACGGTGAGCAGCAATTCAGTTCAGTTTATTTCTGTTGCGCCGATTCTTAGACCCTTTATAGAGAAAATTCAACCAGATCATCCAGTCCGATTGGTTCAGTTTTCTATCTAAGGAAAACCAGCTGATTGCATCAACTCATTGACTCTTCAGCAATCCCTCACACCAAGCATGCTTGTAGCGACAGTGGAGAGGAAAAACTCCCTTGATGTGATGAAAAGGTGTCCGTCCCCATGTCCTCCAGCAGTCTAAGTCTATAGCAGCACTAATGCAGAAAATAGCTCAGAATAAACTGAGTATTTTGGATCAGGGAGAAGGCACGTGTTTGAACTTTTTTTGGCAAGCAATGACTCAGATATGTTAACACTAGAACTCCCACAGCCATCATTCTGACGGTTCTGAGATTTTAAAGGGAAATAACTCTATTTACATTAATCATATGTTGCTCATGTTAATTGACTTTTCCTGTTTCTATATTTCCTTCATTTCACGTCATTTTCCAGCGCTGCACAAAAAAAAACTTATGATATGATGTTTTTCACAAATGTGAAAAGGTTGTGAGGGGAAAATGCGTGGGGCTAATGAATTTCTGTAAATAAAATTGTAATTTTAAACTTCGAACCTGTGTGATAGAACAGATTTATTTATTTTACTGGTTTATTTTTTATCCAAATTATGTCCACAGATAATAGTAGCGTACAATACAGCCTTTAAAAAATGAATAATAGACCTGTTTTAAGGTTTACATATCCACAATGAGTTTATATCGCACACTATAACCATTTCAGTTGATGACATCATCACTACCCATGCGTTCCATTGGGGAAAAAAGTCATCCGTCATATTGACGGCCAGTGGGAGTTTTAGTAGGATCAGAATTCTGGGATTCGTAGTGTTGAGACTGTGGCTCACTCCTAAAATGACCAATGATTTTATTTCCAGGTGAATGAGCTGCAGAACCTGACAGCAGCTGAGGTGGTCGTCCCCAGAGAGCAAACACCTGATGAAAATGATCAGGTCATCGTCAAGATCAATGGACACTTCTATGCCAGCCAGGTACGCTGATAACGCTTTAGTTTGCCTTTATTCCACGCTCTAATGACTAACCCTGTATCTAAGCGGCATGCTGTTNTGTTCTCCATTTTTCATTTGGATGAAATAATAGCTGCATGAATCATGACAGCAGACAAGATAGAGGAGAGCAGGAGGCGGGGTTACCAATCTACTCGCTCTGGAGAGCAGAGTTCGCTGCTTTTAGATGTTGTCTCCAAAGTCTCCAGCAGCAGAAAAAAAGTCTCTAGATTTGGCGCTAGGAGCTTTTTAGAAATCAAAGTGCTGCACCTTTCAGCAGAACCATAAATACTTCAGAGACAGAAAATCCCATCAAGAAAGAGACAGTTGTGTTCATAAGCCGACCGCAGCAGAGAATCACATTCTCCACATTTTACAAAGTATTTCATTGGGATTTCCCCTCTGCGACGCGTTCTCAGTGCGTTTGCTGAGCCTAAGCTAGTTCCATCGCTCTGACTAACCTATCACCAAGCTGAAGCCATTTTCAGATTACCTGAGTGACGATGCTTGTTGTGGTGACGTGTGCAGCCTCCAGGACCTGACCCTGTATAACCCGGAGAGAACCATCACTGTCAAAGGCTCCATCGAAGCTTGCTGCAAGGCCGAGGTGGAGATCATGAAGAAGGTCAGAGAGGCCTACGAGAACGACATTGCAGCCATGAACGTAAGTAACGCTCAGCAACGCCGTTCTCTGCTGTAAGATCGTCAGCGGATATGGAGGTGTATGGTCTCAGTCACAAACTATTGTAGCAGAAAGATCCTGTTGCTTGAAATACTCTGAAAATGTCTGTGAAGAGACAAAGATTCATATATCGAGCATCCAAACACCATCCAGGAGGGAGACATAATGGGAGGTAAAAACAGCTTATTATGGGACGGACTGGATCACTAGAATCTGTGTTTATGTCTAGATTTTACTACAGGGGCTCCAGTATCATTGGTATTTTTCTCTCTTAATTAGAATTAATTGTCACCAGAAACAGATTCCCAGGAAAAGTCCAGAAACGTTAGATCAAATTAAAACAGCAAAGTTAAAGACATTTTGCCAATAGAACAAGACAATTTACACTTAAAGCGGTTGTATTTTCTTATTTTATCTTATTTCAAGCGCATTTTATCTAATTATCTTATTTTAAGAATAAAAATACGCATTCCATTGGCAAATCCTCTCATTAACCTACTCAGATTAAGGGTAAATACACTTAATTTAAAAAATGTTTAAACTTATTTCTAGATCGTTTTTCCAGTGTAAGCAGCGTTGGAAATGATTCCTAGAGAGGGAACTGGTTATAGTTACTAGTTAATTCTCCTACCTAGGTTAGAACTCAGTTAAAGCTCAAAATAACTAGTTACTGAGCAAAGTAACTACCTAAGGCTTACATTATGTTTAAGATTATTAATACTGACTAATAAATAAATTAATTAAAAAACTACATGACAAAAAACATTGACTCTATTTTTATGTGGAAAAAATGAATCAAGACTTGTTGTATTTGTGTTTATTTTGTTTTACTGTTATGATAAAAGAAAATGAAGCACATTAGCCTTTGTTAGAACATAAACCATTTCTCAATTTAAAAGAACGCAAGTACGGACTCGTGTTCTCTCCAAGTACGTTCTTGAGAAAAAAAAAGTAAAGTCTGCTGCTGCAGACGGGCTAACGTTAGCCCTAATCTGCAGCGGCAATTTTTTATTTTTTTTTGTTTTATTTTGAAAAATTTCCATCTGTTTTGTGTTTATGTGACTGTATTACTCATTATTCACCCAATAAATGAAAAAGTAATAATTTATTATCATCTAGAGACAAGCTTTGAATGTGATGATGTCATCAGTACGCTTCTGTTCCAGTTGACTGATTTATTCTCCCCAGGTCTAGACTTTACTGCGGTCGGCCTCAGCGCTCCACTGGTTGCCACGGACCTCTGAACATCTAAACTTTTTATTATTATGCCATAAATAGGGGAAATGGGCCACATAGTTAAGCTTAAAATATGTTCTCGCCTTAAATGATCTTAAAACATACTTTTATAGAACAGCAACAGAAAAGAGAACTTTTATGTTCTGTGAGTGCAAACCTGGAAGCTGCTGCTGCCGCAGTGCATGCTGGGACAGCTGTCAGTCTGGAGGGATGACAGGTGTGCGCTGATGCATGCTGGGTAAAAAAGGGAGGGGAGAGAACGTCTTGGTACTTAATTGAGAAATGGCCTTAATATTTTCAATGTGTTGGCACAAACTATGAAACGTGTTAGAGGAATATTATGCTTTTTAAGCAGTTTAGGATTAAATGCGCTTTCTAACAGAATTAAACTGTATTCCGGTGTAAAAAAAAAAATAAAATAAAAAGCAAGGTTGTACCCTCACTATTTTTGATATAACAAAAAAAACCTAAAGTCCAAAGCCATGAAAGTAAAGAGTACGATGTGTTGATGACTAAACCAGCTGAAGTCATTTAGTCTCATTAATGAGGAGCTTTATCACATTCAAGCTGCTTCTAACAACAAAATCATTTTCCTCTACAGCAACAAACTCACCTGATCCCTGGACTGAACCTGGGCGCTCTGGGCCTCTTCCCTCCTTCATCCAACATGCCCCCCCCTCCACCTGGAAATGCAGTGGGAGGAGCCCCCTATGGCTCCTTTGGGGTAAGAGAAGCCTCACTGGACGGTCCAGAATCCACTGACATGCTGTCAGTTTTTGGCTCAACCTACATCTGATCTGATTTGTCCAAATTTGCTCCAAATGACTCCATCCTTATCCGCACATCCAGATTCAAAGAACTGGTTCACAGGAGATGGAACACGTCACTTCACCATAAGGGCTGTAGTGTTTAAAAAAAAAAACAGAACAAGGAAGTTTATTGTTTTTAAAGTGAGACTAAACACAGGGTAGATGATCCCGGTGGATATGAATGTCAGGCAGCCATGTTTCTGTGCGCTCAGGCTCCGGAGCAGGAGACGGTCCATGTCTACATCCCAGCACAAGCAGTGGGGGCCATCATCGGCAAGAAGGGACAGCACATCAAACAGCTGAGCCGCTTCGCTGGAGCCTCCATTAAGGTTGGTGAAAGACAGAGATGAGGTCCAAACCAGAATATAAACCCTAAAGGCCAGAAATGTATTCCCGTTTCCTTCTCCAGATCGCGCCGGCGGAAACCCCGGACTCCAAAATGAGGATGGTGATTGTGACGGGACCCCCGGAGGCTCAGTTCAAGGTGACGATGGTTGAGAATAAGCCTGTTTTACCTGCAGACTGCGCTTGATAACCGTTTGCTTTCTGATCCACAGGCTCAGGGCAGAATCTATGGAAAACTGAAAGAGGAGAATTTTTTCGGACCAAAAGAGGAAGTCAAGCTGGAGACTCACATTAAAATGGCGGCTGCTGCTGCAGGGAGAGTCATCGGCAAAGGAGGAAAGACGGTGAGCAGCAATTCAGTTCAGTTTATTTCTGTTGCGCCGATTCTTAGACCCTTTATAGAGAAAATTCAACCAGATCATCCAGTCCGATTGGTTCAGTTTTCT